ATATATTAAAAACTTACTAAATATATTCAAATAGATCCATAATGTCTATCCAATTAACCATTAATTCATAATTATGTATATCGACTTTCCAAAAAGTCGTTCATAGATTACGACACGATTTCATTTAGTATTTTCTTGTAATAACAATTATACACTTAAAAAAATTATTTTGCTTACACTACTTAAAAGTTGATTTTGTTGTAATTGTTTTATGGAATGGTTTTTATATTAATAATGGATCTTTAGGATACTAATGAAATGTATTTAATCGGATGTATCTCAAATCAAATCGTGATAAGGTAGTTAACATCAATAAAATAAGTAATGTTTTTTTTTTTATGAAATACATGTGGTTAATTTAAATAGGCACGATATTTCTTCAGTCGTTTACAAAAAAAATTAAATATGTTGGCGAAATTCCAGAATACCTACTAAAAATTGGAATGTGTTAACTAACTTGATGACTTATTTGATATTGCTTATTCTGATGTTTTATACTTAATTAAAATTAAAACTGATAAATCATTTTTATTGACTCAGAGGGAAGACCTGGTTGTTTGTGAGTGTCGATAAATTAAATTGTATAAATATAAATTAAAATTAAAATATTTAAAAATACTAAATTTACATGATTATTAGTTAAACCAAACCAGGTCATATGTTTTCAGTTTACCGAATAATGTGTTTGCGCAAAATTTGAATTTACAATATTAAGTATTATTGAATTTTAAAAAATATATATGGATATTTTTAGAATGTTTTCTAAAAAAATATCCGGTTACTTATAGTATTTAGCATACATTGGTTGAATATTTCTTCAAGCACCCTTCGAAATACTTTTTTGAATTATTATATCAAGTCTAAAAAATTATTTTATATATATTTTGTTTAAATAAAATACCTTACCCAACTCAAGAAAACTAAAAATTGATACCCAAAAATTTACAATACTCACATTTTGTATTGTAAAATTAGCTATATATCTTTTTATAAAATATTCTTAATTATGCTTTATATTACAAAAATACTGAACACTTAAATTTAAAAAGTTCATTTTTACTTTAAAATATTGATAGTTAAAATAAATTTACAACTTTAAAAATTGTCGTTAATTGAAGACTATATCGCACGATTAAGATAAATTAAAAATTTTTTTTACTTTAATTAAAGTTTAAAAAAATGTTCTCGTATTATTCAGAAAAATTCTGATTCTGGTGGTCGAAAAAATCAAGCTTATATAACACACCATGCTGAACTTAAGGATCCTAAAATAACAGACACTGAGTAGTTGGAAAATACAACTAGACGCTTCAGTTACTGGCAATTGGACATAAATTTTAAAAATGGGCGTGGAGGTCTCATAGTAAAGAAATTTGGATTAACTCAAATTATGACAGGATACTGTTGATTTGGTAAGTATTGACATGAGATCAACAAAGCAAAGATGCAAACATATCTTAGCACTACGCCACGCACATCTTATTGGAATTTCCGCCATAGAGCGTAGAAAGATAATGGTTTAAAAGATCATTAAGTCATCTACAAATTATCCACAGTTGTGCGAAAAATTTTGACTGATTACGAGAACTGATGTTTTGTTAGGCAATTCAGCAACGAAGTGATATTGAAGGAGAAGGAAGCCGAGAAGAGCATAGGGTCAATCGCAATAAGTAGGGGAGATAAGATCCAAGATCCGACCCAGAAAAGATTATGCTGTCTGTAAGCTTACAGTCGACTACCAGTATTTGATGGTTCTACCTAAAGAGCTTCAAGTCCCAAACCTTGATCATAATCTTTTCTATAAAACTGACACTTATTTATATGTCAATAAACCATTTTTAATAATAATTATTTTTCTCGTGACAATTAATAAAAAATACTGTCTAAGCCATTTTCTCAACTCAAAACAGATACTTGATCACGAATTAACTTTTCTATAACAGTGTCAACTACTCTAGCATATTTTAAGAGACTGTAATTAATATCTACATACTTAAACATAGCGCGCTGCTATTGATATGACTATCTTCTCAAGTACCCAATTATAAAAGACAGGTGACAAAGCATTGTTTTGTATAAGCTCATTTCAACTTCAAAGCTTTTAGTCGTATTGTTTTTCACACGTACTTAATGAAAACTATAATATAGTATCTCATTTAATACACATTAACTTTTTTAAAAAAGTTTTACTTTTTATTAAATGAATCATCCTAATGAAATAATTGAATACTGATTCTTCAATCATCAGTTAGAATGTTTATTTATTCATGTATATTTTTAATTAGTTAAATATTATTAAAAAGAAATTGTTCAATTATAAAATCTATTGGTTCAATTTTGGAAATTTGAGAGAACTATAGAGAAGTTAGTAATAATTTACTAGGACATTGAAATATTTTTATTTTTATATTGATATTCTTTAAAAAAGTGTTTCTAAAAATGTTTTTCTATAATTACGCTATTACTTCGATACTCATAGGTATACTACAAAAAATATATAATATTCATAACAACATACAAGACCTGTTCAACTTATAATATGTGATAACTGTTCAAATGATTGACTAAAATATGGCAATTACATTATGTATTATCACATTATATATTATTCAACTACCATATTTAGCATAAAAAAATTATATTAAAAATCGATGACCAGTCTTGTCACGTTTATATTCTAGCCAAAAGGCGCCGAAGTTTAATATGTAACACTAAAAATTTTAATTAATTGTGTCTTAGGTATTTTTTATTCATTGTAAGGTTTAAGTAAACTTATAAATATATATTTCGTAGCAGTCGAAAACATTTTAAATCAAGTAATAAAATAAAGTCTGTCCAATGCCTATTCTGTATAAATAATTTAAAATAAGTTAAATTTCAGAAAAACTTTACATGTTCAAAAGTTAAAAATAGCTACAAATATTTACAAGGATTATCCTTTTCTTTTTGGCCATTTGTACTTTTATATTTACCATATACCACGGAGTAAAAGCAAACTTCTAGCTTGAATAGACGTAAAAACTATCAAGTAACAATGAATATAAATGATTTTCGTGAAACATAAATAATAATATATTCAAATAGAATAAGAAAAAACGATGAAATCTATATTCATTGTTTATTTAGTAAAGCCTATAAAATGTTCAAGCAGAATTATTTGAGACTTAATTACAGTATGTCCAGCTAATTTTGCCCTGTCGTCTATTTCTACTGTCCAATAATATAAAGGGCAATTAAAAACTTAAAACATGTGTATAAAAAAGATAATTTTTTCAACTTAACTTTTTAAAATATAAAAAAGAATGAGTTGGTTAGGACATGTTTGGAAATTCAAAAGTATAGCAAATAGTATATTAAAATGGAAACCAGAAAGTAAAAAACCATCGAGAAGACTAAAAAAATGGTGGTACAATCAATTGAGGAACAAACGTCCTCAGTTCCCTTTCAGTTGCTAGGAGTATATAATTTAAGACAATTGGCGAAAATTGTGAAGAATTCAGAAATTTAAGTTCAGTAACGAATGGCCTAAATGACATACAATAATTAAAGAAGAAGAGAAGAGATAGTTGACTATTTTTTGCTAATCAATATTATTAAAATATGTATTCTATAAAAATTTGAGGGATCCAAAAGTCTTGTAGCCATGTTACGCCAAAATCTTAAATACAACCGACTCTATTAATGTATGAAAAATAAGGGTTGGTAGGACAAATCTCTCTTCAATTTTTTTTTAACTTTCTTACTTTATATTTGCATTAAAGTAATAGTATTTTATGATAGTAATGTTAATCACTGTCGGATTTCATTCTATGGTGAGTCTCCTCTATTCTAGTTTGTTTAATTTGGTTATAAGCTTACATACATACCAGACATTTTAACCGGTTGATTTACAGTCGGTTGTATAGTTAAACAATAGTAAAGCATAAATAATAAATATAACTATAAAAATTAAGAGTTGATCTAAAAAGAGGATGACAAAAATGTTCATATACTCTAAGTATATATTATTTATTGGTAATTAGTTAAAATGGTTACATATTAAATTAATAAAACACACTTAATTATTCCCGAGTGTTTAATATTTTATGCCCAAGTGTTATGAAAGGGCAGAAGATTTTAGTAAATTGTTAGATGCCTTAAAAAGTGATCCATCAGTAGTGATTATCAATACTAGGCCAACCCAGCCCAATCGTGATTAAATACTAGCTCATTCTGGTCAGTAATACATTCATAGAACAATTCCCCTAATGGAAGTTTAGAATACTGAAATCGTTGTAAACATTATTAAACACATACCTGTATTATTGCTTGTACACAATTGGTAATATAGACAGCCTAATGTAAATTTATATTTGGCGATTATTATTTTGGAATATTAGTATATAACAGTAATTGCATTGTTCTATCAACTGAAGTAATTAAAGTGAATATTCACTATTAAATTTTTATTATATTACAAGTGGGCTTTTTGTAGGCCTGCAACAACAACGTGGTTTGCCACTGGCGTAACGACTAGCTATAGTAACAAGGGTTGCCACCACCTAGACGAGGTGTTACACCTATCAGATATGATTACCGAACCATAAGTGGAATTTAATTTTAAGTTAATTAATAGTTTAGTTTAAGTTACTATGTCGTTATATGTATAAATGATTATAACACCTCGTGGTTTATTAACCACAACTATGATAATTGAAGTTGTAAGTGGTTCATATGTAAAACATACCGTAGCCCATGTCTAGATTAAGGAACATGGATAAAATACACGCAATTACTTAAGTTACTTGTTCAATAAAATAAATATTACAGTTAAAACTAATAAGGAAATTTAATTTAATTTGAAATAGATCTGTCTAATGCCTTAAATATAGGGTTTTATTCTATAAAACAACATTTATAGCTAACATCGGTAATATTGTTAAAACAATAAATTATTATAAATGTAGGAACTAATGTTAAGTAAAAATATTCCTCATTAAATTATTATTTAATTTTTTTAGCAAAAATAGCATGAATTCTTCGTCAGCCGGAAGTGGTTTATTTAATACTAGAAATGGAGTTGCTAACATTTCCACTTGCTGTGGCTATGATGAAAACATTGCAAAGCATCGGCATTTAACAGATTATCTATTAATTTTATTTTTTTGTGTTGTTATACTAACGACAGTGGTAAGTAATTAATTCTTAATCTAGTTTGCTTTATTTATTTAAATTAATTGATACCTTTTCATTTGCTTTTGAAGTAAATTAATTAATCAAATGAGTACAAATTTTCATTCTGGAAAATACTACGATAGAAATAGTAACTTTATCTAAAATAATTTAAGTTACCCTAAAAAAAAAATGCGTCATATTACATATCCTCTATTATATTAATTTACCTTCTCGAGACTCCTTTTCTCATTAAAACCTCTTTCGATACTCTATCATATGCTTTCTGCAAATCTATAAACACCACACACATCTTATCTTCTTTCCCTATACTTTACTATTAACTAGAAACTGTAGATACCAAATAAATATATTTAAAATTATTTATTAGATAAAAATTTAAAAAAATAATGTTTTAAAAATATTTTTATAACATTATATGTTATAATAACGCTATAAAAACATTATCATAACATTATTAAAAAAAAATCAGAAATATTAAAAACTATAGATACAAAACATTAAAAGTGGATTTTACTATCAACTTTTTTAAATATATTTCATGAATTTTTAAAATTTTTATTTAACTATAGTGAATTAAAAAATTATTATTCGTTATAATATTTTTATATTCCAAAAACAAAATAATTGAAAAAAAAAAAAAATAACAAAAAAAGATGATTGAGTTAAAAGTCTTAAGTGATTTTAGATTTTCTTTATACGCTATATACATACAAAATAATCTGTGAATCATGAACACTCAATTACTCGTATAATAACAATAGTTTTGAGATTTTTTTATATTTTTCAGTTACATATAATTTTGATTTATCTACTATTAAGTAATTTTTTTTTGTATATTTCATATGCTTTATAAAAGTTTCATTTTTTTTTTATGGAAACATACAAATTTAATTAGCATATATATTTAATAAATATTATTTAATAATAGGAATGTTTCAACGTATATAAATTTTTTACGATGTATAATTTTTTATTTAATAAGATTGACAATATACATATGTTTTAATTTAATAATAAATACTTGCGATAATGAGAATTGCACGCCTTTAATAAGTCCAATTTTAAAATTGAAGAATACATTTGTTAAGTTATATTTGAATAGAAATATTAAATTTACTGTACAAATAGCAATTAAAAGTTTTGATTTTTTTAATTAAAATGAATTATACAAAATAGTTAAAATGTTTTCTATGTGACTACAAAGCATATACATTTCTTTTTGCCGTTAGAAATTTTGTTTTAACAGTGCAATTNAAAGCATATACATTTCTTTTTGCCGTTAGAAATTTTGTTTTAACAATGCAAATTAAAACTTTACAAACTTTTTCTAAAAAAAAAAAATATCCATTGATCGATAAGAAAAAATAAAATAAAAGTATGATAATTTAACGTATGATTTATTATAAGTTTACATATAAATTGAAGAAACTAAGAGCAAATATATCTACCTAGTACTACTGAATATTTCATAAGTTCATTTCAATTGATTTTTTTAGCTTTATATAAAATAATTTTATATTATCAGGTTTTATAAAATGGTAAAAATCAAATTCAATTATTTTCTTGGAAAACATTTTTTACAGATGATTATTTCTTTCATTCTTTCAAATACCCATATTTTAAGTTTAAATCATGGTCAGGTATGTTTGAGTGATAAGTGTGAAATGCAAAATGTGTTATGTACAATGAAAATTTGTCGATAACAGGTGATGAACTAAAATGTTCACCATAGCTTATGCATTAAAAAATTGTGTGCATACTATTTGTATTATTATAGTCACTTTTTAAATTTTAATATTATTAAGACATTAATCAGTCAATTTTATACAAAAAAATTTTAAAAATGATTACACAAATTCACAATTGCACCTAAGGAGGGACAAGGAGGTCTTTTTCTTAGTGCAAAGAAAAAGTTCTTTTAGTACCTAGGAAAGTAATATTTTTATTTTGTCAGTTACTATTTCTTAAAATATAAAAATACTAATTATCAATAATACGTATGAAAAATATGATATTAATGCTATTTAAATATTAAAATACATGGCACTGTATTCATAGAAGTCAAAATTTTTCATTCTAACTTTTAAGCCGAAAAGCTTGTTTTCTTTACGAGAATCCTTAAACTAATTATCGGCTCACAAACTCATTAAAATTCCACGTTATGGAAGCTTTTATATTATTGACACGTTGAAGTTAATAAACGTTTTATTTATTTACTTTACCATTTATTTGTCTTCCTAGAGTACCTGTTGTAGGGTCGTAGTAGAGTGTCAAAAAAGCTCTTTAATTCCATTTCACTGTGTATTTTTCTTATTGGTCACGTAAAATAAAAATGAAAATCGCTGAATATTATAAACAAAAATAAATGTGGGAGTTCAAATATTTTTTATGAGAATTTACACAACGATTTTTTTTCAGACGTGATGACCTTTATCTCCATACTTCACATAATATTAATGAAACAAATACGATTGCTCTATGGCAAAGCATTTTTAGTCAATTAAAAAAGATTCATTTATATTTTGATACTTCATATTAGAAAATACCTTTCCTAAATATATAAATTTGTTCTTAAATAACGTTCGTAAAAATAAAAAAATGATAACCATATTTTCTATAAAAAATGAAAAGTAGTATTGTATAAAAAAATAGAAGTTTATACTGCAATTAATATACATAAATTAAATATTTTATTTTATTTAAGAATATTTGACGTATCAATCAATAATAATCTAAAATAAGCATTAAAATTTTTTAACAAATATTAGCCATGCATATGATTTGTTTCAACGAAATAGTATGACGCTGGCAGTTGGTATAATAATTGTATGACTAAAACATAGAACCATTCAACCTAATAATCGAATACATTGTATAAAACATGGTTTTATATGTTTTGGCTGATGACAAAGATAAATGTTGTAGCAAAAACTAAAATGTGTTAAGGGAACTTTCGAAGTGCATTTTGTTAGCTTTATTGTATATTTAATCATTTTCGGTGTAGTAATCCAATGATTTCATATCGAATTTTTCTGAAAAAAATTTCCATTTGTTAAATGTAAATTAAATTCTAGAAATAAATTACTCGAGAATGGTTTTAATATTTTTTCAGTTAAATAATTATTTTTTCTAATCCAATAAGATAAGTTAAAATTTTACAAATATAAATAATATTAATCAGTATTTTTAACTCGATTTATAAACCCCATAAGAAAAACAGATATTGAATGAACAAAAATTATTTGTAATTGTCATTTGCGTGCTTAATAAACAAATAGCATGTACCCTCATTTAAATCAAAATGTGTGTTGTCTACATTATTTCAAGTCATTAACTTACTACTAACAAACAATGGTATAATACCTATCATGCGTCGTGAACATAAAACAATGTTTATAGATGTAGTGTATTTAGAAAACAAAAGATATACAAGTTCGTTCCGATGTTGATGAAAATTTTGTTTAAAGAGTAAAAGGCCATCGTGCAACAATCTTAGAATAAAGAAAAAATTAAACTACTCAAATAGAAGATATAATTTTCATTCAGTTATATTAAATAAAATTGCTATTGTTGTATTATCGAAAGGAATCGCATAAAACAAAATAATACAATAAAATAGTACCAACAATTATATTATGAAATGTTTTAACAATTGCTCTAATTTGTCTTAGAACTCATTGTCTTTGGCCATTAAATTATAAAATGTTGAGACTGAATTTTTGAATAAATTTTTTAAGATAATTTATTATATTTAAAAAAATTAACTACTTAATTAGTATTATTTAATTTAATATCTTTAAAAGTATACATTTTAATGTCATTAAAAGAAAAAACATTATAAAATAGATTTTTAAACAAGTTAAAATTAATAAAAATTAATATAAAGAAAATTGATTTGTTAAATATAAAACAATATAACAATTTTTCAAATTTAATTTAAAACTTCATATTAAGTAAGGAATCGAATCTATTAAATTTAACAGTCCCCAATAGCTCATTGCATTGGATAACAATATTGATAATTTATAATCACCTTAAATGTGAATTAAGTATCGGTCATTACTTGAGAGCAATTTAATTCAGATTACTTAATTTGAAATAGGCTAAAGCAAACTAAACTTTAAGCATGCTTTTAGAAAATAATTTAAGCATAGTTTTCCTTTTATTTATATACTTAAGCAGTAATAAAGTACGTGCGACTTTTTTCTTTGTAATTCTAACTCAAATTATTTATTTTTTATTTTAAAATATTTAGAACTATTGTGTTTTCATCGAATTTTATTTGACAAATAATTTAAACAACATATTGTACTATAATATGCCAGAAAAGGTTAATATTTTATATTTTAATTTTACGAATGAAATGATTCTCTTTTGATCATTTACTTATTTTAATATATAATAATATCGACTTTGAAGTGTATCACAATTTTTCGTTAGCTTTGCTGTAGTTTTATTAGCGCATTTGAAAAAATGATAAAAAATATAAATACAACCTTAAAGAATTTATGCAACTAATGGTAAACATTGTAACAGTCTAATAATGTATAATAAAAATTGATCACTTGTGGTTTTTGACTTAAATATTTTATATTATTTTTTAGTTTTTAGTTTTAAATTAGTATTTTAAATATATTTTTAACTTAAAATAATATTAGTCACAAGTCATCAGTTCTTATTGTATAATTATAGTATCTGGACCTTTTCATTATTATAAAAAGTTAAACGACTGATGCGGACCAAAAAGAAAATATTTTCTCAAAAAATGTATTAAGTTTCATATGACTCCGAAGTTTGGCAGATTGACAAGTAAGTCAAACAATAACAATATTAATTTTCCAAGTCAATAAATTTCACTCAGGAGAAGTTTCTTAAGTTAGAAGTAATGAATAATTACCGTTATAGATGTATAGTAGAAATGGGAGCTTATCAATTACATTTAAAACTTTCCAATCTTCTGTGTCAATCAAAGTGTGAAATTTTGGAACAGAAAATGTACCAGGTGATTGAACACAAATTTAAAACAAAAAAGAAAAGTTCAAGAAAAAATTCAAAATTTACCTTCTGAACGCAAAAATAAATAAATTTAATAATAGTTTCATTATTTAAAAATAGGGAGATGATTTAGCTAAGAATTACACAGTTGTGGTATTTTCCGATAAGGAAGAGAAATGCTTATGTTAGTCTTAAAACATTTTTTTTACTGAAAATTATTTTTGAATGGTTCAAACCGGCCCCTATAAAAAAATTATTAAAAATCAATTAAGTAAAATATTAATTTGGGCTACAAACGTTATATATAGTTAAAGATGAATAATTGAAAAAATATCAGGGTTTTCATTAAAATTTACTCAAACCCCAAATATCTAAAATATATGCTTTGCTAAAAATACATAAGGAGGGAAATAACATGAGACCTATTGTATTGAACGTTAATGTCTAAACACCTAATATTTTCATTTATACGAAAAAAATCGATAGTTTTTTAGTTAAAGTTAATGATAGTTTTTATCAATATAGTAGTTTTAAAGTTACAACGTCTAATTGAAAAATTTGTTTAAAAACTAATTAATAAACATTTTGACCAATAAATAACTTTGTTAAATTTAATAATTCCATGTCATAAATATATATATATATATATATCATCTTTTATTAATAGGAAAATAAATAAACGATATTTGCCTCATATTAAAATAAATATACCATTTAATGTGTTCACTTATAAAGGATAAGATATCCACTAAGTTGTGAACATATATCTTATCTCATATATCTTAATATTTTTATAAAAATAAATTCCATATCGATAGACTCATATTTTATTAATATTTATCTTAACACGAACTAAAGATATTATTTAAACTAAATTTTTAATATTTTAAGTATTATTACGAATTAAATGCAATATGTAAAATCAAAAATCAAAGAAATGTCTTTAAGGTTTCATGTTAATATACTTCAGTATTTAGATTGAAATGGATACTTCAAAGTTTGCCGATTTATATTATAACTATATCATAATAACTAAGTCTTTGAATCTATAATATAATTATACATTCGATATTTATATACATAATAAGTGATACTGAAAATATGAGATAAAAACCTGAATTACATATTTATTATTTATTTACTGTGTAATCTTTGCAGGAAATCAACTATTATAACTACTAGTTTTCTTATTTTTATTATTCATTAGTTGTTTATTTTATTTCTTATCTTATATACCAAGAGATTGTATATATTTTCTTAAAACTTTAGCAAAGTGATAACGTATATGTACCGTATTTAACAATCATAGCTTGCAACAAATTTAAATTAATTTAAGTCTTGAAGGAAATGAAAAATGTAAAATTAAGCAATAAGCAAAATTCTTTTGTGTAAATGAGTAGTTACGGGTAATTATAATATTTTCTAAATGTTAAAATTTAAATACCCAAGGCTCTAAAATGTACTTATTTATTTTTTCGTTGAATAGTTTTTTTTTTTAATTATTTAGCTGTTTAAAATGCCAAAAATAAGTTAAATAAATAGCAACATTATACAAAAGCTTAACCTTTAAATTATTTTTAGTGTATCATCATTATTTTTTGTGTAAGTTTGATAGAAGAATTCTATAATTCTAGAGTAATATAATGAAATTTTAAAATACAATACAATATACAAATAATTTTTATTTACATTATTTACAAAATTTGTCTTAATAAGAATTTTTACATAAATATATGTTTAATGTATACCAATTGAATCTAATTTCATTTATAATAAATTTATGTATTTTATTGAACTATAAATTTTGTTATTTTGGTATAGAAAAAGTTGAAAATGAAAAATATTACATTTTTTTCAAATAATTACGTCGTAACCTTTATTTTAATGTGTTAGGATCTGATATACATTGTTACAGGTTCGAAACTAGGTAAATTGAAAACATTACATGTAAAGATCAAAGTTTGGAAAACATAAATAAAAAAAACGAGTATTTGTACATAAATTTTAGACAGAACTTTTAGATTTGAGTAACAAATTGTCTACGCCGTTTGCTTAAGACATCTCTTAAGATTTAAAGCGATCAAAATGATAAAGAACGTTAATTATTAAAGCTGTTACAGTGATAATATTATAATAATTTAGATGTACATCTTATAGATACGTAAGGTTAACCAGAAACATTTATAAGATAATATAAAATTCTTATTAGATTGTTCAGCTCTATATAATTAATACTAAGCTATGTTTAGTCTTATATAATGATAACGTTGATATTTATAAAAATTTATTTTATGTGATTTTTTTTTAAATTCTTTTTCTTTTAGAAATTAATCCTAAGGTTAGTTTTACAGCACTCTTTTTCCATACTCTCACCACTCTTCTCTATTCCTTGGCATTCTTTTTAGTCCCCTGTGGTTCTCAATCCGGCATCTTTAATCACTTTATTGTTTGCCCGTTCTCTGATTCTCCTGTCTTGAATTTGTCCTTTCAAAATTTTTGGCGTAGTTCCTCTGCGTATTTTAGGGTAAACCCAAATATTTTTAACTAAAAATAAAGAATAGTTTAAAATGAACAGTAGAAATAAAATCTAAATTAAAAAAAAAAAAAAAATTTTGGTTACATTGGCCTTCCAATGATCATCTCTATATACGGTAACAAACTAAAATAAAAATATATTAAATTCATCTTGTAATTTCCCTTTTACAGGCAACGATATGAAATTGCCCGTACATAGTACATTATCCTGAGTGCTAATTTAGAACATTTCATAACTGTTCAATTACCCATTTAGGTATTTTAAGATTTTTCTGGTATGTAGAATGAAATTAATAAAAACTAAGTGAAAGTGTGCGTAAAGAATTATAAAATATGGGAAAGATTATGTTCAGTTTATTCGAAAAAATAAATGAAGAGTCTTATGTTTAGTGTTTACTCAAAAGTTAAACATTAAATATTAAGCATTCTTCATTTTCTAATAGCACGTTGCTGTGAGTTATATCCAAAATTTTGGATACAATACTTAACAAATTTATCTAATAAGTCATAAAAATGGGTTTTCAATGATTTGTATAAAATAGGATGTTTATTTTCATAGTTAAAAAAATATGAATAAATTTTATCGAGGTGGTCTATTTTTTAGCACTTCAAAAATTTCGATTTGAATTGGACATTATTAAAATATTTAATGTAATTTGGTAACCTGAATATTTGCTAAAATTGACATAATTACAATTGTAAAATAGTCATAGATTTATAACTTAATGAATAATGTTAATATCCCAATCAAAATTTTACTACACATGCAGTACTGCGCTATTTCTCGCAATTATAGTGTAGTAGCAACTACAGTATTGAACCAATAGTGACATATGTCTGGGATAATTACGTTTTTCAGTACTGAAGATTTTTTATTACCAATATTATGTTAGTGTTTTTCCAGCAATGCCAAGTATTAACCACCAACACTGAATCAGTATTTAGACAAGATTCTAGCTAGTATATACCTGTACGGGCTTAGTCAATGGTCATTTGGCAGTACAAGTACAATACTTTGCCCATTATCAATACTTGATACTTAAAAAAAAATTCTATATGGAATTATTTCTATTTTATAACCGTTCTATTTTTAATACTATAAAACAAAAACATTACTTTAATTTCGAGTATGAGGTACTGACCTATATTTGAGTATTAGAAACATAAAATATGAAAGTATAAAAATCGAATGGTGATTTTTAAAAGTTATTTTCGTTCAGTGCATGCTTTTTAATATTTATTTATATAGAAATAATACCCAGTAAGGGCAAAAGTATAGACAAAAATATTACAAATATTTTATTAATATAAAATGCAGCGCCGTTTGAAGAAATTGCAAAAAACTTTATTTAATAATACTTAAAGTTTCTAAGTCATATTTACTTTATTGTATTTTTATTATTTACGTAACTTTCAGTGATTTTTATAAAGTTAATTTTAAGTACAAAATATTAGTTGTACTTTTATAAATCTTTGTTGGGCCGTGAGCTAATATAATATTTTCCAGGCCACTGATAAAATTTTATAAGTTATTCTTCAACAAAGAAAAATATTTAATGATTTTTGTCTTTTACAAACGCTGTTGAATGTTCGATTCATTTTAAGTTTGCGACAATAATTTTTAGAACATATGAATAATCTTAAAATTTACAAAGATTTCTTAATCATCATCATAATTTCTTGTTTGTTATTAACATTTTCTAAGATTTCGACATGAATAATGAAAGTTTTATTAACCGCACTGAGATGAATTTAGCTTAATTAAACTGTTTTATTTGTGTAATTAGTATAGAATAACATTTTCGTTCTTTTGTTAACAAGCAATTCAGTGTTTAAATTAACCATATTTATTCAAAAATTAATTAAAACCCTAATAGTTTGCGCCACATATAATTCGAAAAGTAGTCGTGTAATCTTGTTATACACAGTTCCTTTCTATCCTTCTAGGGCGTTAGACGGTGGCAGCTGCCTCATCAAATCAGGTGACATAATTGTTAACGCGGTCGATCAACGTTGTGTTGATTGTATACAAAATAGGTTGAATTATTTTTTTTTGTATAAATTAGTAAAATTTTGTTTATGTAAAAAGTTAATAAAAATTCAATTTAAATAATCAAAACGTATATTATTTTCAACTATTAATGTTGTTAAGTATAATACGAAATACATGCATAGTGTACATGCAAACATGTTCATGTTTTTATATTTAAAATAAAAACATTGTTGTCAATTCATCGTTTAGAGTACAATGAGTCATAATATTAATATAGTTTTTTTTATCGCGGCATCTGATTTTATGATTTCAATACAATAGTTATATGATCATTGTATCCAAAATTATGTAGACAATATTTTTGTATGAATGACATCGATAAGGATATTAGTTTATAAAACTAATACAATTATTTTTAGATTACTGCAATAGATCTGAGCTAATCATTTTATAAATTTGGAAACCTTTAATAGCAGAAATAACTAATCCATACAGTGCGTAATCCTGTCGGTTTTCGAATTCATATTGGCTTTATTATTAATATTAAGGTTTAATTTCAAACTATGTATAATATTGTATTTAGGGATACATAGAAGTATGTTAAAAACAAAAATAACAGTTTTTTTCTTACAAAATGGAATTTGCTCCTATCATTGTTCTTTTACCCAAAAAATAATTCGTTCTTGAAACTAATTCATTTCGAACAGTAGTTATAGTTCATTTTAATCAGTTAGCCTATACATTTTAGCATAAATAATGTTAAGTCACACGGATCAATGTGATTGAACTAATATTTCTCAATTGTTTTGCTCAATACTAATAAAAATAAATACAAGTTTTCTCATTTGAATAACTGGCGTATATTTTTTTTATAAGTAGTTTTCCTTAAGATTAAATGATTTAGTTATTGATTTATGCGCACTTTAGATAAATGACCTTTTAATTTATTAATTATTTATTGTTTTATAGAGCTAAGTTAATTTAAATCAACTTATTTACCTCAAATAAATATCTTTATTCTAATCAGTTGTTTTTATTTAATTATTTAATTGTATTTATTAAGTTAAACAGCTTAATCTGTGTTAATAAAAAATATTTATACTTAACAGTTTCATATAATAATTAAAATTATTCATCATTGTTTATTGCTGTTTTAATTAATATTAAACATATTTTTTTGAGCAAACTACCTGACATCTCTATTATGTATTAGTACCTAACTATCTCATGTCCTTTATTTCCTCTAGTGTTACTGAGAAAGTATGAAGTAAGGCTAATCACTTCCAAGGTGTTAAAACTAATTTTACTTAAAATTTAAAAAAAAATTTAAGTATGCTTGTACTTGAAATAGCTACCTATAAAAATTACAAAAAAAAGTACTTATATAACATGACATTTTAAGTTTTTAAAAGTATTAGACATATTTGCATAATAAAAAAAAAACGGTAGCACAGTGGGGTCGAGGCACAGTGTGGACGAGGCATAGATGGGACAAGTATAGATGATATCTGACAGTGATTAAAATCACTATCATAAGAAACGCTTCGATGCAAATCTGTAGATAGTGTTTCCTTTAGAGAAATTGGTGAAATATTTTAAAAGCAACATGAACTCTTATTTCTTTAATTATATCCTGATTAGTAGTTCTTTGATTTTAAAATATAATATATGAATAAATACTAATTATAGTTTTTAAATT